GAGGGCCCCTGGGGGCCCCCGGCGCTGCTGCTGCTGCCAAATAAATGTAAAAAAAGAGAGAAATGCTGCAAGGAAAGGCTGGGGCTGCAGTGTTTGGGGAAAAGTGGTGCTTCCGGCGCTGCGGCTGCTGCTGCTGCTGCTGCTGCAGCGGGCCAGGTGCAGCAGCTGGGGGGCAGCAGCGAGCAGCAGATTCACCTCTTTGGCTCCGGGTTTATACACGCGTTCACTCTTGGCCCTCATTGCTTTTCCTGTTGAAAAAAGAAAAACGGAATTCAAGGGTAAAGGGCGCAGGCGCTGTCTGCTGCGGGTGCTGCGGCTGCTGCTGCAGCAGCAGCAAGCGACTGCAGCAGCTACTCTCCCTCGACAGCCTCGACGGCCCCTAAATCTACATTAAATAAGCAATGACAACTCAAATGCTGCGCAAGACACAAATATCAAACACCCAAACACCTCCTTGCCGCTGCTGCTGCCGCGGCTGTTGCTGCTGCTGCTGCTGCTGCAACGGCGTGACTGCCGCTGCCGCCGCTGCTGCTGCTGCTGCTGCTGCAGTGTGTTCTACGCCGCCCCTAGCCCCCCCTAAATTCCCCTTTTCCGAAAGCATTTATATTCAAACTTGTTACATTTTTAAATTGCTGTCGCTTTCCTCGAATGAACTGGCTAACCGCCGCTTGCTTCCCCGCTGAGGGGCCCCCTGGGGGGATGCGTGCAGCCTAGGGAGCCGCCAGCTGCTGTGTATCGCAGATAATTTTGCTTCCGCTTAAATTAAACTTGTTTTTATAATATTTCCTAAATTTTGCCTTTCTTTGGGTCTATTTAGGGGTCTGAAAGAAGCGGTAGTTCGGGTGTACGTAGACTGCGGGATGGCGCTGCCCGCTCAGCTGCCACACTGCTTTCTCTCCAGGTGTCTTTACACCCCAACCTAATTCGAAATTTGCTTTTCTCTTTTATTCTTGTGGGGTTTGTCATTCTTTTATATTCTTTTTAATTTGTTTCTTCTCTTCTTCTCGCTTCTGCCCGCCTGTGCAGCGCCCGCGCGCCCCGGCACCTCCCGCTGCTTTCTGCCCGCAGCTCGATCACTTCTTAATTAGTCCAACTCAAATAAAAACCACTTCTAACTTTTTCCAAACTTTCAATTAATTCTAAAGGCCCTTTCCGCAGCTCCTGGGGCCCAGATTTGCATGCAGACAGCGCAGCAGCAGCGGCCGTTTGCTGCTTCAATTCCTTTCTTTTTAATTCTTTCTTCCCCCAACTCCCCCCTACACCTGCACGGGGCCCTCCAGCCCCGAGGGGGGCCCCAGAGGGCCAACGGAAAGCAGCAGCAAGCAGCAGCAAGCAGCAGCAAGCGGCAGCTAGCTGCAGCTAGCTGCGGCTAGCTGCAGCTAGCTAGCTGCGGCTTGCTGCTGCGCGCTGCGGCCCGCTGCAGCTAGCTGCAGTTAGCTGCTCAGCTAGCCCCCCTCTCCTCTGAATGAGGTGTTTTAATTGATTTAATTCTCTATTCAAATTAAATTAAATTTAATTAAAATCAAATTCTTCAAATTCAACCGCAAGCCGTGGCTGCTTAGTCTAGGGGTATGATTCTCGCTTCGGGTGCGAGAGGTCCCGGGTTCGAATCCCGGAGCAGCCCTCTTTGTTTACCTTTTTCTTGCTCATTTTTTTCATTTTAGCATTTGTTTTGCTTCCTGCTGCTGCTCTTTTATCAAACGCCACAAGCGTTCCGCTGCTGCTGCTGCTGCTGCTGCTGCTGCCTGTGCTGCTGCTGCAGCGGCCTTCACTGCTGCTGCAGCAGCCTTTGCTGCTCCTGCAGCAACCGTTGCTGCTGCTGCAGCCTCCCCTGCTGCTGCGGCTGCTGCGGCCTGTGCTGCTGCTGCAGCGCTATCACTTGGCTCTTGTTGACAGCAGCAGCAAGGCTCCTTGTGTCGTTAGTGGACTGTAGCCATTTGCTTCCAAAAAAGGACTTATTTAAAATAACTAAATTTAAACACTTCAAAAGAAACATTTTAAAAGATTCTGAACTCCGAAAGAAATTCAGTTCCGTCCTGCGCCCGAATTGGGGTGTACGTACACCCCAGCGGCCACACGCCGCGCCCCAACTTGGGGGCTTCGCCGCGCTGCTGTTGCTGCTCTAGGGTTTAGGGTTTAGGGTTTAGGGTTTAGCTGTTTTTAGCTGCTGCGGCCCCGCGGCGCTCTGCTGTACGTACAGCTCGCGAGCGCGTGGGGCATTAAAATTGCATTAATTTGCAAATGCCATTTTAATTCATTTTTTAAAATTTGCAAAATTAATAAACAAATTTTTCTAAACTTTAATTATTTAGCAGCTCCAACAGCAGCAGCAAGCAGCTGCTTCTTGCTTCTTGCTGCTGCCGCCAGGTCCACCAGCGCTGCGCTGCTGCTCGTTGTCTATTTGCTGCCTCTCCAGCCTACTCTTCGCTGTCGTTGCTGCTGCTGCTGCTGCCGCTGCTGCTGCTGCCGCTGCTGCTGCTTCCCCTGCTGCTGCCGCTGCTGCTGCTGCTGCTGCTTGCGGCGCTAGCGCCAGCAAAGCCTCTTGGGACTTAGCAGGAAAATGGACTTCCAAATAAGTGGCAAAAAGTAGCAGCCAGAGTTGAGGGTTTCAGTGTATTCAATGCGGGGGGCCTCCTCAGCAGCAGCTGCTGCCTGCGCAGCAGCAGCAAACGCATGCATCTCACAAAACGCCAACTCAAACGCGGGCCTTTAGCCAATGCAGCAGCTGCTGCAGCTGCTGCAGCTGCTGCAGCTGCTGCTCAGCTGCCCGCGCTGCCTTCTAAACCCGTAGAAATACGAGCATAACCTGCTGCTGCTGCTGCTGCTGCTGCTGCTGCTCGCGTGGCTGCCTGACCTGGAAAAGCTGGTGGTAGTGGAGTTCCTTGTCTTTTGTCTGCTGCAGCTGCTGCTGCTGCTGCTGCTGTTGCTGCTGCAGCTTGACTTTTGTCTTCAAATTGTTTTTCGAAAATTCGACTGAGACAGAAGACAGCGTGGCGGCCAGCTGCTCCATCAGCCGCTCGTTCGCAGAACCCTAAGTGCAGCAGCAGCAGCAGCAGCACCAGATAAAAAGAAACAATTCATTAACTTGTTAGGGTAAACCCTAAACCCTAAACCCTAAATACAAAAAAGAACCCAAAACAAGTCCAAAAATGATACGCAGCGCAGGAAATGCACCGAAATAGACCCTAAACCCTAAACCCTAAGCCCTAGACCCCAAACCCTAAACCCTAAACCCTAGACCCTACTTCGTCGTCTTCCTGTCCCTCCTCCTCGAGGGTTTTGTTGCAGATGGCCAGAAGACACAACAAAAAGCGCAAAAAGGGAGACAGCAGCGGCTGCAGCTGCGCCAGCAGCTGCAGCTGCAGCAGCTCGCTGGGGTGTACGTACACCTCAGGGCCTGGCCCGCTGCCAAGTGAAGCAGCAGCAGCAGCTTCATCTGCTGAGAAACAGGTCGAGCCATTAATGCTGTTCGGCTGCTGCTGCTGCTGCTGTTGCTGCTGCTGCTGCTGGGCTTCGCCTTGCTGCTGCTGGTGCTGCTGCTCTTTGTCCTGCTGCTGCTGCAGATATTCTTTGTCCTGCTGCTGCTGCTGCTGCTGCTGCTGCTCGTTGTCCTCCTGCTGCTGCTGCTGATGTTCATTATCCCCTTGCTGCTCCTGCTGATGCTCGTTTTCCCCCATCTGCTGCTGCTCCTCCTGTTCTTGCTGCTGCTGCTGCTGCTGTTTCCGGTAGTCTTGCTGCTCTCCTGCTTCCTTCTGCAGCTGGTATTTCTCTTGCTGCTGCCTCAAGTGCTGCGCCTTCGGCTGCTGCTCTCCCTGCTGCTGCTGCTGCTGCTGCAAGAAGAGCTGGGCTTTGTCCATGCGCTGCAGCAGCTCCGTCGCCCCTGCTGCTGGGAACAGCCGCAGCAGCGCGAGCAGCAGCTGCAGGTTTTTGTTAATTGAATTGGGTTTTAAAACTGAAGAAAGAAATATCAAAAGAGATCTGTAAACCAGCAAACACCCCTCTAGATCTGCAGACAGTCGTCCGAAAGAACTCTTTGCTGCTGCCGCTGCTGCTGCTGCTGCGGTTGCTGCTGCTGCAGCTGCTGCTGCGGATGTAGCTGCTGCTGTTGACGACGGCGCTGCTCCTTCGCCTGCTGGTGAAGGTCTCTCTGGAGAATCTGCTGCTGTGGTGTTCGCGGTCCCAGCAGCAGGAGCAGCAGCAGCAGGAGCAGCAGTAGCTCCAGCAGCAGCAGCAGCTCCAGCAGCAGGAGCAGGCAGGGGCAGCCGCAGCAGCAACCGACGCGTAAGGCCAGCTACAAGATCCAAAAGACGGTCAGCAGCAAACCTGAAGCGCAGCAGCAGGAAGTTTAGAAAGTGCAATTTGGAGCAGGCAAAAGCCCTAAGCCCAGCAGAAGCAGCAGCAGAAACAGCAGCAGCAGCAGCAGAAGCAGCAGCAAAAGCAACAGCAGCGGCAGAAACAGAAGCAGCAACGGAAACAGAGCAACAGCAGCAGCACGAACAGCAGTATCAGGAAGACAAAAGGCAGCAGAAAGTGCAGCAGCAGCAGCATCAGTTGCAGAGACAGCAGCAGCTGCAGTGACGGCAGCAGCAGCAGGGAGTGGAGGAGCAGCAGAAAGAGCAGGAGCAGCAGGAGCAGCAGCAGCAGCAAAGTGCTTCTTTGGAACGGACCAGTGGACCTGTTCAGCACAGTGCGCCGCATTGATTATATTTGCTGCACTGACTTCAAAAAAAAACAAATTTTTAAAAGTCGATAAGTTCCTGGCAGCAGCAGCAGCAGCAGCAGCAGACACACTCGAAGAACCCTTCAGCAGCAGCAGCAAACGCAGCACAAGAACATCCCAGCAGCAGCAGGAACAGCAGCAACAGCAGAGGTGGAGCCTGCTGCAGCAGCAACTCAACACGTGGTGCTTCACCAAAGAGCGGCAGCAGCAGCTGCTGCTACTGCTGTGTCTGCAGCAACAACAAGCAAGTCACTACAGCAGCAGCAGCAGCAGCAAATACCACGAAATGAATCTAAGAGAGGTGAGGATGAGAAGGGAGCCAAGTGAGATGTCTCTAAGCCTTCTGCTGTTGTGGCCCGTTGCCTCTGCCACGATCTGCACAAAACAGCAGCAGCAGCAGCAGCAGCAGCAGCAGGGTTATATTCCATGTCTGTTTCGTCTAGCTTCAAATCAAACTTCACTGCCCACTCAGTGCCTTTGCTGCTGCTGCTTTCATTGCTTCTAATGCTGTTACAGCAGCCGCAAAAGCCCCTGCTGCTGAGCTGCTTCTGCTGCTGCTGCTGCTGCTGCTGCTGCACCTTGGTGTGGAAGTGGTGGCAGGAGGTCTTGTCCTTCGTAAGCATGAGCATGCAGAGAGACAGCAGCAAACCTGCTGGGGGCACTGGATAGCTTACTGCAGCACGAGGGCCTTTAGCTGCAGGCAACAAACAGCAACACCAGGCTTGCTGCTGCTGCTGCTGCTGCCGCTGCTGTTGCTGCTGCTGCTCGGGGGGTACCTATTTGCTTCGGCTTGAAGCCGCATTGCTCCGGCAGCGCACTTGCTGCCTCTACTAGCGACAGCAGCAGCGTCTCAGTTTCTTCTCGGGAAGCACAATAGAGCCTGCACACCGGCAGCAGCAGCAGCAGCAGCAGCAGCAGCAGAAAGAGTAACAGCAAGCAGCCAGTTGCTGCCGCCGCGAGCGCGGTTTCTGCATTTGGTGCGGCGGCTGCTTGGTGGCAGCTGCTGCAGCCGTTGCTGCTGCTGCAGCCGCTCCCGCTACAGCTACTGCTGCTGCAGCAGCAACTGCTGCTGCTGCTGCTGCTGCTGCGCACCTGAAGCAGCGGTTGCGGTAGAGCAGCAAATAGAGCAGCAGGGGATTGAGGCCCCGCGCCAAGAAAGGAGCAGCAAGTCCATCGAAAATGTCTTGGAAGCAAACTTCCTTGAAGGGCGGAAACGCACACTGAGGTGTATGTACACCTGAACGCCCACAACCAGCAGCTCCAGCTGTACGTACAGCCCAACGTGAAGCAGCAGCTTCAGGTGTATGTACACCTCAAGGTGAAGCAGCAGCACCAGGTGTATGTACACCTCAAGGTGAAGCAGCAGCTTCAGGTGTATGTACACCTCAAGGTGAAGCAGCACACCAGGTGTGCAGCAACTTGAGGTGTATGTACACCACATGATTAATTAGCAGCTTCAGGTGTATGTACACCGCAGAATGAAGCAGCAGCTTGGGGTGTATGTTAAAAACAAAATAAACAGAAACTGGAGTGTATGTACACCTGAATCGCGAAAGTAAGAGGGGTCGTACAGCGAGCTCAGGGCCAGCAGAAAAGGGTTTGCCTGCGCGTAAACCCTAAACCCTAAACCCTAAACCCTAGACCCTAAACCCTAAACCCTAAACTCGGGAGGTCAGCGCTGCGCAGCGGTGGTGGTGCAACAGCAGCAACCCAGCAGCAGCAAGCAGCAGCAGCAGCAGCAAGGGAAGCAGCAACAACCGCATGCAGGCTCCCACAATTGAAAAAGAGAAAGCTACATTTCTCTCTGCTTGCTGCTGCTGCTGCTGTTGCTGTTGCTGCACCTGTTGCAGCAGCAGCAGCTGCTGCTGCTGCTGCTTTTGCTTCTGCAGTACAGCAGCAGCAAAGGGCGTTGGTCACTTACTGCTAACGCGGCGCGGTGGGCTGGCTTCCAGTTTTCAGCTCCTGGCTTTGCAGCAGCAGCAGCTTCAACAGTTGCTGCTGCTGCTGCTGCTGCTGTTGCTGCTGTTTGTCCCTTGGAGCGCATGTAGTGCAGCAGGATGTGTCTTTGCTGCGCAGCCACAGTAAGCTGCCCGAGCCTCTCAGCAGCAGCCAGCGGCTGCTCCGAAGCGGCCTCCTGCAGCTGCTGCTGCTGCTGCTGCTGCTGCAGGGCGTGCTGCTGCAGCTCTGCTGCTGCTTCAATCCGCGTTGCTGGCACCACGTGGAAAGATAACACCAGCAGCAAAAACAGACAAAGGGGCCCCAGCTTCGCGGGGGGCCCCACAGGGCACAAGTCCCCAGAGAGAGTCAGGCCAAAGGCTTCCCCAGAGACGCAGCAGCACCAGGTCCGCAGCAAATAAGCAGCAACCTCTGCAGCAGCAGCAGCAGCAGCAACAGCAGCAGCAGGGGCAGGGATGCTTACTTCCCGCCTTGAGCGCATCCGAAAGAGCAGCGAAATGGCGTGAGCAGCTGCTGCAGCAATTGCTGCACTACCAGCAGCAGCAGCAACAGTGTCCGCAGCACGCTGAGCAGCAGCAGCAGCAGCAGCAGCAGCAGCACGGGGACTTACCTTTTGGCTGCTCCGCCTGCGGCCCTGCGCCTTCCCAGGAAGCCATAAGGGCCTCCATGAAAATGAAGCAAGGCAGATCTGCTGCAGGGCAGCTCGTCGAGGGCACAAACAGCTGCTGATGCTGCTGCTGCTGCTGCTGCTGCAGGTAGTGCTGCTGCTGCTGCTGGTAAAAGAAGAAGAGGGGGGCGCAGTGCGCAGCGCGACTCGACAGTGGAGGCAGCAAACTGTCAAGCTTTAAGCCAGCAGCAGGAGGAGGCCAAGACAGACAACCCTTGCATATGCTGCTGCTGCTGCTGCTGCTGCTGTTGCTGCTGCAGCTGTTGTGCTGTCCCGAAGCTGCAGCGCTATTTTGCCCGCAGCCAGTTCGTGCTTCTGCTGGCGGCGTTGCTGGTGCTGCTGCTGCTGCAGGTGCTGCTGGTGCTGCTGCTGTTGACGCTTCCGATGGCACTGGTGTTGCTTCTGCTGCTGCTGCTGCCGGCAGCTCTGCTGCTGCTGCATCAGCTGCAGCAGCGCCTGACTGGGACAGTGAGGCCCCTGCATAATCTTGTGTCTGCTGTTTGTCACCTAAATCAGCAGCAGCAGCAGCAGCTGCTGCTGCTGCTGCTGCTGCGGTTGGTGCTGCTGCTGCCGATCCCTCGGTCGCAGCGTTCTCCCCAGCATCTCCAGCAGCAGCAGCAGCAGCAGCAGCGGGAAGAGGACAGGCTTTGGCGGTGAGCTGGTGGGGGCAAATGACTGCCAGCAGCAGCAGCAGCGCAGCAACAATTTGCTGCTGCACTTCAAACATAACAGACTGGAAGAAGCAGGGCGGCTGCGTGTACACCAGAAACTGCAGCAGCGACTTCAGCAGCAGCAGCAGACACGAGCTGCGCCGTTCCTGCAGGCCGCTTACGCCCCACACCTTGCTGCTGCTGCTGCTGCTGCTGCTCTTGCTGCTGCTGCTGCTGCTGCCTTCAGCCGCGGAGTTGTCTTCCTCGTCCTGGGGAAGCCACAGAGGCAATAAATACAAGTAGAGAACGTTGCTGTTGCTGCTGCCGTTGCTGCTGCTGTTGCCGTTGCTGCTGTTGCTGTCGCGGTCGCTGCCGTTGTTGCTGCTGCTGCTGCTTGAGTCCACAGTCTCAGGAGGCGCTGCCTCATTTGCTGCTGCAGCAGGATAGGCTCTAGTCCTCTCCCGCGCGTGCTGCTGCTGCTGCTGCTGCTGCTGCAGCAAGGCTTGGAGGGTGTTGGGAGAGGCGACTTCGTCGCAGGAGAGCAGCAGCTCTTGCTGCGGGTTTTGCTGCAGCACGGAGAAGAGGAAACCTCTTGCTGCTGCTGCTGCTGCATCTCGAGAGTACGTACACCTCAAGAAGCTCATCACTTCTTCATACACTTCCAAGCCGCTGCTGTGCTGCTGCAGCAGCAGCACATCATTTCGGTACACGACCGCCACCTTGACACTGCTGCTGCTGCTGCTGCTGCTACTGCTGCTGCTTGCCGCTGCTTCGTCATGGGACGGCGTCTCCTCAGCAGCAGCAGGAGCAGCAGACGAGGCCGCTGCAGCAGCTGCTGCTTCTGCAGGAGCGTCTGTCCCGGATGCTGCAGCCACGCGCCCCTCAGCAGCAGCAGCAGCAGCAGCAGCAGCAGGGGCGTACTCTGCAGCAAGCAAGATTTGTGTGGCTGTCAAGTTTTCTGTAATCGCCATAATAATTAGCCGACACAAAACCGACAAGCTGCGCAGGCCCCGCGCGTCAGCAACAGCAGCAGCAGCAGGCGCAGCAGCAGCAGCAGCAGGTGCAGCAGCAGGTGCAGCAGCACCCTCAGCAGCAGGCTCCGTCGCTGCAGTGTCTGCTGCTCTTGGGGCTTCTCCTGTCTTCGCTGCTGCCCCGTCTGCCTGCGTCCTGCCGTGCAGCAGCAGCTGCCCCTCGCTGCTGCTGCTGCTGCTGCTGCTGCTCCTGCTGCTTGCTGCAGCCTGAGCCGCATATATGCGGCCCAAAGCAGCAGCAAAACTCTCAAACTGCGCAGCTAAGAAGAGCAGCAAAGCCTTGAGGTTGCCAGTTTTGTGGTTGGTGAGCAGCAGCGGCAGCAGCAAGCAGCGCCACACTTCTGCTGCTGCTTCCTCCGGCAGCCACGCAGGATTCAGCAGCAGCAGCTGCTGCCAGCAGGGGGCCCCACACCCCAGGGCCTCTCCTGCTGCTGCTGCATGCACAATGGGAGTAATAGCAGCAACAAAGGGGTGCTCCGGATCCAGGTCCTCTGCGGCACCCCCAGGGGAAGAAGCAGCAGCGCCCATCTCTGCTGCTGCTGCTGCTGCTGCGGTTTCGGGCGCGCTGCTGCAGCAGCAGCTACGACGGCGGCGGCGGGCGAGAGGCGTGAACGCGGCAGCTGCAGCAGCAGCTGCTGCTGCCAAGCCGAGCAGAGTCAGCTGCGGCGGGGGGCGCAGCAGCGAGCGCTGCTGCTACTGCAGCAGTCGTGCTGCAGCAGCAGGGGCTGCTGCTGCTGCTGCTGCTGCAGCGGTTGCTGCTGGCTCCCCGAGGCGCCCCTGCAAGGCCCTCAGGCGTCTCTGGCCCTCGAGCCCAGCGTGTTGCCGAAGGGAGCAGCAGCTTCGGGTGCTGCTGCAGGTGCAGCAGCAGCAGAAGCAACAAGACAGCAGCACCTGCAGCAGCAGCAGCAGCAGCTGCTGCTGCTGCTGTGCATCTGAGTAGTCAACAGATACGAAGCCCTGCCTGCCCCCAATGAGTCATTCTGGGGCCTTCCACTGGAGGCCTTTCCACAGAGCTGCCCTACTTCGGTGTACGTACACCGCAGTTTGCTGCCAGCAGCAGCAGCAGCAGCAGCAGCAGCAGCAGACGGGCGCTGCTGTCGCTGCCGAGACAGGCGGTGCTGCTGGCGTTGCTGCTGCTTGTTCTGCAAATGAGTTTCAATTTGTTTAAAATTGGATACTAGAAATAAATTAAAAATAAATAACAAATAAATGAGCAGCAGCAGCAGCTGTGGGGCGGCGCTGCTGGCGTCGGCTGTGAGGCGTGCGGGGCTGCCGACAGCAGCAGCAGCAGCAGCAGCACCGCTGTAGCAAACAAATAATTAATTAGTTTGAAAATTAATTTAATTGGATTTAATGCAAACTCAGAAGACCCGCAGGCAGCAGCGCGAGGTGTACAGACACCGCACGCCAGCAGCCTCATCGACAGCAACAGATTGCGGAGCAGTTCATCTAAATTTGTTTAAAACAGCAAACGCTGCTGCTGCTGCTGCTGCAGATGCTGCAGCAGCAGCAGGTGCTGCATCAGCAGCAGGTGCTACAGCAGTAACAGTCGCACGCGCTGCAGCAAGGGCAGCGTATCCTGCAGCTGCAGCAGCACCAGCAGCAGCAGCACCAGCAGCAGCAGCAGCTAAGCCTCTACAGTCAGCTCTGCAGCTTCGTTTGTCCTGCTGCTGCTGCTGCTCTCTCTCTCCCTCTGTCTTTGTTATTATGATCTGCTAGTTTATATTTTAATTTAAATTAAACTTAAATTTAAATTAAATTTAAATTTAATTTAAATTATATTTATATTCGTTATTTGCTGCTGCAGCTTCTTAGTCTTCCATCAGCACATAAAGCGGCTCATCATCTCTCTCTTGGGGAGCACCAAGCTGCTGCTGCTGCTGCTGCTGCTGCTGCGGCTGCTGCTCTTGCTGCGGGGGCTGCGGGGGTTGCTGCTGCTGCTGCGGGGAAGGCTGCTGCAGTGCACGCTGCTGCTGGAGCCAGTGGGCATGCATTTGCTGCTGCTGCGGCTGCTGTGCGTGCTGCTGCGGCGGAATTAGCTGCGGATGCTGCTGCTGCTGCAGTAACTGGTGCTGCTGCTGCTGCTGCTGCTGCATGAACTGCTGCTGCTGCAGCAAACGCTGCTGCATTAAGTGCGCGTGGGGCACAGGGCTGTGGGGATGCAGCGCAACAGGACTTTCCCGTTGCTGCTGCTGCAGCAGCTGCTGCTGCTGCTGCTGCTGCTGCTGCGGTGAAGGTGCCGGCGCAGCCATTAGCGGCTGCTGCCGAGGATGCGCAGTAACTACTGGCTGCAGCGGTTGCTGCTGCAGCAGCAGCTGCTGCTGCAGGTGCTGCTGTCGCTGCTGCTGCTGCTGTTGCAGCAGTAGCTGCTGCTGCTGCTGCTGCTGCTGCAAAAGCTGCTTTTGTTGAAGTTGCTGCTTCTGCTGCTGCTGCTGCTTCTGCTGCTGCTTCTGCTGCAGTTTTTGCTGCTGCAGCTGCTCCTGTTGCTGCCGCGGCTGCGGTTGCTGCTGCTGTTGCTGCTGCTGCTCTCCTTGTGAGGGCCTCAGCAGCAGCGCAATGTTATAAACCTTTAAAAGATAAAGCAAAACCCTAAACCCTAAACCTTAACTTCGAAACTCAAAACCTTTAAAGCAGCAGCAGCAGCAGTGCTGCCAAACCAGCATACAGCCTCAGCAAGGGCTCTAGAAGCAGCAGCAACAACAGCAGCAGCAGCAGCAGCAGCACCACTAGCTGCTCACCTGCCCTGCTACTTCCACCTGCGCCGCTTCCATCCCTCTGAAGCAAGCTCCCTCTTCTGCAGCAAACCCTAAACCCTAAACCCTCGACATTAAATCCTAAACCCTAAACCCTCAACATTAAATCCTAAACCCTAAGCCCCCAGCCGCGAACAGTGCACCGCAGCAAACACTGCAGCTGCGGTCCCAGTACCGCTGCTGCTGCTGTTGCTGCTGCTACTGCTGCTGTTGCTGCTGCTGCTGCTGCTGTTGCTGCTGCTGCTGCTGCTGCTGCTGCTGCTGACCTGAATTGGGGGAGACACAGACGGCTGTGCAATATTTCGAAAGCAGGTCATTTATCATCGACGGAACGTGTGGGGCGTCTGCAGCAGGCGCAGCCAAACCCTAAACCCTAAACTCTAAACCCTAAACCCTAAACTCTAAACCCTAAACCCTAAACCCTAAGCCCTAAGGCCTTTCAGGCTAGGCCATCTTCGTCTAGGGTTTACTTCTTCTGTTGAGGCGGAGGCTCTAGAAGGCAAGATTTGCTCTGCAGCGTTTGCTGCTCAGCTTTAGGGCTTAGGGTTTAGGGTTTAGGGTTTAGGGTTTAGGGTTTAGGCCTACCGAAGTCCTGCAGAATACGCTTGGCCTCTGCCTCTGAAGATACCTCTCGCTGCAGCCTGCGAACAAACCGTAGACCCTAAACCATAAACCCTGAACCCTAAACCCTAAACCCTAAACCCTAAACCCTAAACCCTAGGGCTTAAACCCTAAACCCTCTAAGCCCTGCTTACAGAGCTTCCGTTTGTGCTGCTGCAGCAGTAATAAGCGCCACAGCTCTTGAGCTGCAGAGGCGGTTTTTCCAGCGAAGGCGCCCCATTCTGTAAACCCTAAACCCTAAACCCTAAACCCTAAATCCTAGACCTTTAGCCCTGTGTTGCGGGGGGGAATCATTGGGCATGGGGCTTAAAACGGAGGGCTGCTGCTGCTCCGGCTCTTCCTGTTGCTGCTGCTGCTGCAGGTGCTGCTGCTGCTGCTTGTGTCGTTGCAGCAGAAGCGCCTGGTTCAGCTGTCGCTGCTGTTTCTGTCAGCAGCATTATTTGCTGCTGCTGCTGCTGCTGCCCAAGCTGTTGCCGCTGTTCTCGCCTCTCCTGCCGTTCACACCTCTGCTGCTGCTGCAGCTGTCGCTTTCACTGAATCCCTTACTCTCGCTGCTGCTGCCGCTGCTGCTGCTGCTGCTGCTTCCGGGGGGCGTTCGCGCCAGAGTTAAGCGGGTTCTGCAGCAGCTTCGGCGGGGAGCGAAGAAAACTAAAAAATAAATTAAAATAAAATAATATTTTGTTTTAATTCATTTCCATTTATTTCTCTCCCTTTACTCCGTCGGATTTGCCCGCAGTTTCCCTTTTCGTGGCGGCTGCGCTGCTGCTTTCGGGTGTATAGGCAGCTGCAGCACCCAGCTGGAGTTCCGCGGCTTTCCCTCTGTCCGACACAACTCTTATTTTAATTTGATCTATCATTTCCTTTAACCCATTAGTCTCTGGCCTGCTGCTGCTGCTGCTGCTGCTGCTGCATGCGGTCTCGGTCTCGGGGCTTTCAGGGCTGAAGGCGCTGGTACCGCTGCCGCTGCTGCTGCTGCTGCCGCTGCAGCTGCTGGCCGATACCTGGCATACTGCGCGTTTTCTTCATCTTCTGCTTCCGGAAGGTTTGTCGTGACTGGGCGCCCTGGCAGCAGCCAACAGCGCTCTGAGCAGCAGCAGCAGCAGCGGCAGCAGCAGCAGCAGCAGCGCAGCAACCCTCGCCGCGCGTCTCACCGCCTGCGCCGCCGCAGCCTCGCAGCAGCGCGAAGCCCCTCCCCCCGCAGCAGCAGCAGCAGCAGCAGCATGGCGGGGCGGGGCTTCGGCGAAGCGGTGGAGGTGGGGGACAGCAGCAGCAGCAGCGGACCAGTGGTCACGGAGCAAACAGCAGGCGGCCAAACTTACCTCACCAACTTGACCACTGGTCACCGGCTCATTCCCGCCTCGCGCCGCCCCGACGGCACTCTCCGCAGGCCCATCAAAGTGCGGCCCGGCTACACGCCCCTGGTAAACCCCAAACCCTAAACCCTAAACCCTAAACCCTAAACCCTAAACCCTGAACCCGAGGCCGCGGGCCCGAGGCTTTGGGTCCTGCGCAGACGTCTTTGCGCGAAGCCGTTTCAGCTAGTGGGGGGGGTACTCCCCTGCTAAACCCTAAACCCTAAACCCTAAACCCTAGGCCGTAAACCCTAGGCTTTAGGCCCTGCAGGGCGCAGCGAGCCAAACCCTAAACCCTACACCCTTTGGAGGCGCTAAACCCTTCTGCTGCTTCTGCTGCAGCTCTGATTATTCTTATTGTTTATTTAAATTTATTTTATTTTTTATTCATTTTATATGTTTTATTATTTTATTTTATTTATTTTATTTTAATTTATTTATTTTAGGAAGAAATGAAGTCTTACAAAACCCGCCACCAACTCAGCCAGGAGCAGCACAGAGCCACCACAGGTGCTGCTATACCAGGCCTCACTGCAGCAGCAGCAGACAGCAGCAGCAGCAACAGCAGCAGCAGCAGCAGCAGCAGGAGCCGCCAGCGGAAGAAGAAGCAGGGCAACAGCCCCGCCGACTCTGCTGCAACTCCCGCTGCGTTTCCCGTGGCTCCTGCTGCTGCTGCCAGCTCTTCTGCTGCTGCTGCTGCTGCTGCTGCTGCTTGCTGCGAGCAGCTCACGAACTTGTCTATCAGCAACAAGGAAGCAAACGCCTCTAGGGACCCAGCGAAAAGGTGAGTCCACATGGCAGCAGCAGCAGCAGACAGCAGCAGAAGCTGCAGCAGCCGCTGCAGCAGCAGCAGCAACAGCAGCAGCAGCTGCAGCAGCAGCAGGTCGTGGTTGTGCATGCAGGCTAAGGAACTTGAAAAAGAAACTTAACGAAATAGAAGAGCTGCAGCAAAGGAAGGCCAACGGAGAAGTGCTGCTGCCGGAGCAAGAAGAGGCAAGCAGCAGCAGCAGCAGCAGCAGCGCAGCAGAAACAGCAAAGACATGGCAGCAGCGGTGCCATTTAGTATTTGTTTATTTATTTTGTTTGTTGTTTTTGTTTGTTTGCTGCTGCTGCTGCAGAAGATCGAGAGGAAGCAGCAGCTGCAGCAGCAAGCCGCGGAGCTGGAAGCAGAAATCGCCGCTGCAGCATGATTTCTTTTTCTTTCTCTTTTTGTCGAATTGATTATTTAATTAAATCCATAAATGAATTTAATTTAATTAATTCAAAACTAATTCAACTCCATTATCTGCATGTATCCCATTTAACCTGAGCTGTTGCTTTTTTCATTTGCGAAGGCCAGCCGCAGCTGCTGCAGTAGCAGCTGCTGCAGCAGCAGCTGCAGCAGCAGCGTCCGCTGCAGGGCAGTTGCGACACCTGCAGCAGCAACTGCTGCTGTGTGCCAAGATATGTGTTGCTGCTGCTGCTGCTGCTGCTGCAGCAGAATTCAGTCCTCCGGCTCTTCCTCCGTGACCCTGTAGTAATCTTCAGCAAAATTTGCTTTTGAATGGAGAAGCAGCAAAAGAGGGAGCTGCAGCGCAGCAAACTCACTGCGAACTAGGCGAGAGAACTCGTTTGCTGCAGCTTTTTTCTTGCGAGTTGCCTCTCCGGGGGTCGTGCTGCTGCTGCTGCGGCGCTGCATGCATGCATGGCTGCGCTGCGCTGCAGCAGAAGGCCGCTTACTCTTGCCACAAGCGCTGGTACATGTAGCCTGGGGCGCGCGGGCAATGGGTGGACCACTGGCAGTGGACCACTGGTCACTGCGCCTACCTTGGGGGTTGAAGGAAGGCGCAGCTGCTGCAGACGAACTCCCAGCGGCCACGCTTCCGCGCTCCTTCGCCTCAGCGCAGAGAAGCGCCAGAGCGCCAGCCAGCAGCAGGAGCAGCAGCAGCAGCGGCTGCAGCAGCAGCAGCGGCTGTACGCCGCCGCTGCCGCTGCGGCGCCGCGGCGGGCTCGTAGACATGCGGGGAGTCCTGAAGCGAACTAGACTTGAGTATATGTACCCAAAGAAGTGCAATGTGACATAGAAAGAAAGAAATGGAAGAAAACTTGCACAAAAAAGTACTTTTCAAGTTGGATCACGGCGGCTGCGTGGCCGCGCACAACGGATGTGCACGTACACCCGAGCTGCGCGCGCCTCCACTTTCCAATTCGCACCAGCGAGGCCGAGATCACCGGATAAATTAAGACTAAATAAATATATTTGTCATTTGTTTCGGTTTTGTGGAAGGAATGGACTGAAGGAAGCGCCCTTTCCCCGCGGGCGCGGCGGGCGCTGACCTCCCCGCCGCGGGGGCTGGGGATAAAACCGAGCCTAAAGCTGGCGAAATGTGCGCGAAAATGCAGAAGCAATTGCTGCTATTTGCATTTCGGAGGAGTTCGGCGCAGCAGCGCCTACGGATCGCGAGGATTCCGCAGCTTTCCGCTTCTGCTGCTGCTGCAGCCGACAGAACTTGAACGAGCGAAGCCCGGCGCCGCCGCGCGCGGAAAGCGCCGCCCGCCCGCCTCAGCCAACGCCCAATAACCTTGCAAATATATTCCCCGCAAATTTACTCCAACTTGAAGGCCAAATTCAGCGAGTGGAGTGGCTCTTCCAGTCGCCCCGGGGCGCCGTGCCGATGGACCCGTCCTGCGCAGCAGCACAGAACCACTGGACCACTGGTCCACTGCGGCGCATGCACCCCCTGCGTCTCCCTCCACTACAACGCACGGGTTTACCGTTAAAAGACGCAAAGTGTGCAAGTTGTGCACCCACTGCTGCTGCTGCTGCTGCTGCGCTGCAGCAGCAAGACGCACCAGTTTCGTCGCAAAGCACTTCTCCAGATCCTTCGCGAGCTTCTCTTGAACGGCTGCAGCAAATTCACACACGCCTCTCCAGCTTTCAAGCCACGCCCTGCTGCAACTCTTTCCAGCAGCTGCAGCAGCAGCAGCAGCAGCAGCAGCGGGTCTCACTTCTGTCACACTTTCCTACCCAGACCTCGATGCGAATGCACGGGTGCCTACCCTGGCCCAGCTTGTCCACCTGCAGCAGCAGCAGCAGCAGCAGCAGCAGCAAACACCTATCCACCCATCCAGCCAGCTAGCTAGCTAGCTAGCCACCCACCCAGCAACACACTTCCCCCAACCCCCATCTATCCCCACATCTATTTCCCCAGCCAGCCAGCCAGCTAGCCAGCCAGCAAGCCAGCTAGCCAGCCAGCTAGCTAGCTAGCCAGCTAGCTAGCTAGCCAGCCAGCTAGCTAGCCAGCCAGCTACAAAACTAACAAATCGAAACCCCGCAACATGATGTCCCAAGACCAAGTTGTTCCCACTCACCCCCAGCTACCCACCCACACCCCTAGCTAGCTAGCTAGCTAGCTAGCTAGCTAGCCAGCCATATACCCTCCCAGCTAGCTAGCCAGCAAGCTAGCTAGCCACAGCCCCACGAGTCGAATCCCCCAGCCACCCACCAACCCCCAGCTAGCTAGCTAGCCAGCTAGCCAGCCAGCTAGCTAGCCAGCAAACTCACCAGTGACATAACTTCCGTGTTCAACAGTCCCTCCAATCAATCCCAAGTTGTCCCCACCAACCACCCAGCTACCCACCCGCGCCCCCAGCTAGCTAGCTAGCCATACACCCTCCCAGCTAGCTAGCTAGCTAGCTAGCTAGCTAGCTAGCCACAGACCCACCAGTCGAATGCCAGTGACGTGACTTCCGTGTTCAATAGTCCCTCCTATCAATCCCAAAACCAAGTTGTTCCAGTACTCGTCGAGCTGGCCAGCGCGAGTTTGGAAAGGAACTATTCGGTACTCCAGGTGGCCCCCCACGCAGTTCTGCGGGTCTTCCCACATTGGCTGGATGCCTTCTCTGCAGCAGCAGCAGCAGCAGCAGCAGCAGCAGCAGCAGCAGCAGTGCAGCAGCAGCAGCACGGGCGACGCGCGGGGGCGAGGCAAGGGACAGCAGCACGCAGCGTGCAGCGAGAGAGAGCGAGGGCGGGCTCTGCGTGGATGCAACGGGCAAAGCTGCTGCTGCACGTGCTGCTGCTGCTGCGCTTGCTGCTGCTGCTGCTGCAGCAAGAAGTGGATGAAGAAGCGCTAGGGCTGCACTACGCAGAAGTGCAGCAGCAGCGCCTCTTCGCTTTATTTTGCACCAGACTTCTTCGGCGCTGCCGGTGCGCTGCGGCGGCGCCGTACACACTAAGGTGCTGCGCGATCTGCCCATTTTCTGCGGCTTTTTCTCCAATTTGGACTTTATTTATTTCTTATTAGCATTTTTATTTCCATTTTCGCAATTTTCCCCGCAAAAATCCGACAGATTCCAACAGATTCCGACAGATTCAAGTCCGGAACCCGCTGCCGAGCTCCGGCAGTGCAAACGAACAAAAGAAGAAACCAATTCAAATTTAACTAAATAAACAATAAATAAATGAATAAATAAATAATAAATCTATTTGTTTAATTTATAAGTGAATTAATTTGAGAAAGACCCACTTGAAGATCATCAGCGCGTCAACCACGTGGCTCTTGCCGCTGCTGTCTTGGCGGATCATCCTGAGGTGTACATACACCCGAAAAGAAAAGCAAAAACGAAAAATAAGTGAAAGAACAGGCTGCAGCACATCTGCTGCATGCAGCCAGAATTGAAATAAGATTAGATGGACTGAAAGTGTCCAAACAGCGAAGAAAAAGAGGTTCTACAAACCCTAAACCCTAAACCCTAAACCCTCACCGCTTGTGGCCAAGGAGTTCACTGGGCTGGGGGATGTGCGCCCACAGCTGCCAGAACGTCTGAGCAGCAAGAAAACCCTAAACCCTAAATCCTAAACGCCAAACCCTAAACCCTAAACCCTACACGTCAAACCCTAAACCCTAAACGCCAAACCCTAAACCCTAAGCCCTCAACCCCCCGAAAACAGTGGCTGAACAGCCTGCAAGCCCTGAAGCGCCCAGCTCTGCGTGCTCAGGGGCCCCGAGGGTTTAGGGTTTAGGGTTTGTGAGGGTTTAGGGTTTACCTGAACAGTGTCGAAAGAAGCCAAGTCCCGGGTGTTTTGCGAATAGTCTGCTGCTCTGTCTGCTGCTGCTGCTTCTCGCTGTATCTGCTCCCACACATGCCACCGGTGCTGCAGCGGCATCGGGGCGTCCGCAGGCCGTTCCTGCGCAAAACCCTAAACCCTAAACCCTAAACCCTAAACCCCAAGCCCCAGGTAGAGTCTGCCGTTGGCTGTCTGCTGGCAGCAGGGCCCCACCGCAGCTGCGGGCGAGGCCCTGCTGCTGCAGCGCAAGGTGCAGCAGCGCAGCAGAAGAAGACACCGGAGCAGCAGCAGCAGCAGCAGCAGGGTGCTGCGCCGACGGCGACGCCGCTGCTGCTGCTGCTGCAGCAAAACGCATGCAGCAGCAGCAAGAGAAAAAAATAGCAGCAGGGGTCGGTACCTCGGTGATGCATTCGTCCAGATTGACTGCGTCAGCCACAGAGGGGTTGAAAGAAAGGTATTTGGTGGAAGCCATGGTCCAGAAGCAGCAGCAAATGCAAACTGCGCGAAAATAACCAAAAAAATATCCCTTGAGAGCAGCAAAAAGCGGGGAAGAGCAGCAAACGCCGCCCGCAGAGGAAGCAAACGAGCTGCGACGGAATCTGGCGTCCGCCGCTCTGGCCCCCTCCTGCTCCGGCCCGCTTCTCTTTAGAACCAGTACCAGTGGAAAGAAAACAAAAAAAGATGTTCAAAGGTCCTTTAACGGGCGAAAAAGACCTGAAATTAGCTGCTGTTCGTCTGCTGCTGCTGGTGCTGCTGCTGCTGCTGCTGCGGCCGCCGCCCCGCGCGCGTGTGCTGCTGCTGCTGTCTATACACCCCATCGGCCTCAACGCCCGAAACGCTCAACAACGCCTTTCAAGCAGATCTTTTCCGTTTTATTTTAATTTAATAAACAAAATTAATCCACACTTGGCCAAATAATTAGTCATTTCCTCCAGTTTCCCCCCCGCTGCTGCTCGCGGCTCGCACCCGCCTGCTGCTCCGTTGCTGCTGCGCTGCCTGGCAGCTGCTCCTTCCGGTGCAGCACGAGTTTGAATTTATAAATTAATTAAACATAATTAAAGCTGTTCATTGTTGCCACCTTTTCGAATAAACAGCCGGAGACTTCGCGAAATAGCCGAGGAAGCCAGCAGCAGCGGCAGCAGCAGCTGCTGCTGCAGCGAAGCGGTGTCCACGCAGCAGCAGCAGCTGCTGCTGCTGCTGCAGCACTTATTCCCTCGTTTTCACTAAAGTCTCTTAAAGAACCCTCCAGAGCTTCCTCAGAGCTGCTGCATGCAGCCGAGACAAGAGCAGCAGCACTAGAGGCTCCCTTGCTGCTCGAAACTCCCGTGAACATTCGGGTGTCTAACACCGCCGCCACAGACTAGCAGACCAGTGGTCCACTGCTGCAGCAGCAGCTCCACTGCTGCAGCAGTAGACCACTGGTCTGCTAGTCTGTGGCGGCGGTGTTAGACACCCGAATGTTCACGAGAGTTTCCAGCAGCAAGGGAGCTTCTAGTGCTGCTGCTCTTGTCTCGGCTGCATGCAGCAGCTCTGAGGAAGCTCTGGAGGGTTCTTT